GTTTTAGAATATCTTGTGAATAGCACATGTTTAATTATATATTTAATAACACATATTTCCTAATTAATAATTGATCAGCTAAAGCTTTATTATTTTTTTTTGTGTGATATATAATAAATAGAAAAAGTGGGTAATTTAAAAGGGTATATTAATATATAGTAATAAGAAAATCATAGGTGAAACAAAAAGGTCATTATTAATATGTAGTATCGTCAAATCATCATTAATTGCTTATTACATATTACATAAATAATTAGTACGCGCTGTCAATTAAATCAAATTCTCTTTCTTTTTTAAAATGCCACCGCCAAAAAAAGAAAAAAATAAAAGAAAGCAAGAATTTGAAGGAAAAAATGCGTAAGTATTGTTTATTGTAAGAATGGTGGTGGCAGTTATCGCAACCATTCGTCACTCTAGTTTATAATTATAATAAAAAATTACAAATATGGATGGATAAATTAAATCTGTTATATTAATGGCGAAAGTTCTTAAAAAATAAGAATTCAATTACACTTATTAGTATTATTATATTGTTATAATGTTGTTTTTTTACAGAAAATTTAAATACATATAAAGAATGTTTCTTTAGTATAATAATTACTAATGTTGATTTGGTTGACACTGGTTAAAATAATAGCATATTGAACGGAAAATGAAATTTTTTTGTTATAAAAGAGAAAATTCAGTTGAACTAGAAAATCAAAAAAAAAAACAAATAACATGAACAAATTCAATATTTTTTTCGTCTTGATCGTCTTCTATACTACATTAATCACTTCACTTTCACTTTCAATTCCAACCAAAGAAGCTAATAAAAGAACTCCTGGTGACGACGTTGGCAAATTTACTCAATGTGCGGGCACCTACCCCATCACATTTAATGAAGTGAGTTACACTCCAACAATATGGGAACCTGGTAATACTGTCACTGAGCATGTTGTAGGAGATAGCACTGTTCCGATTGAAGATGGAGCTATAGCAACTTGGAATATCTACTTGAAGGATAAATTTTTATTTTCATTTTCAGCTGACTATTGTATACTCGCCGCTGCACTAGACGAGCTATGTCCAGTTCAACCAGGTCATTTTGACAAAACATATGAATGGAAAGTGGAAGAAAGCCCATTTCAACCTAAGGACATGACTGTTGATTATTTTGTAAATTCTACTGGTAAGTTATACCCATTATTTCTTAATCTTGCTTGGAAACTGACTTTTCTAATTAATAATATTTACTATTTTATCACCCAGTTGTCAGTAAGGATCAAACTGTTTTAGCGTGTTTAGAAGGCACAGTCTCAATAAAATACCCTTAAATATGTACATTTTATGTAAATTTTAAAGAAATATATTTACAATCAAGCTTTATAATATTCGATAATAATAAATGTAATGAATATAAAAGTTCTTACTTTTGACCTTGATTCGATTTTTGCGTAAATTAATCCTTTTTTAAAATACAAATATGCGGGGTTTTGAAGTACCTCGCTTATACTTGCCGCCCAAAATCAAAACTAAAATGGTTTACTGCATCAACAATTACAAAATTAAAGATATTATGTCCCAATGTATTTATTTTTAAATAAGTAAGTCATATAAGGAGTAACAATAAAAAGTATAATAAGTTCTGACAATTACTATATAGTAATGATGTATGACGAAATGTTTTTGGAATTGAGAAACTATTTCGTCAAATCACTAAAAAATGACG